TAATTTAAGGAAAATAATAAAATAATAGTTTTCATTGTTTTTCATTAAAATAATATAATAAAGATTTTAACAAGTTTTTTATATATTAGTACCGCAAAAAATTGCTATGAGCAATAAAGCCGTTTTAGATTAGTTATTATAATGCGGTTATTTGTTATTAGCTTGTGCTAAACATTTGTTAACAAACATATTTTATTAATTTACTTTGGCAAGATGAAAAAGTTTCAGTAGAAGAGTAGAGTATCTGCGCCTTCAATGTCGGCTGAGACAGTTTTAGATGACTGTAAAGCGTTGCGGGATCGTATATCCTATTGCGCCTGAAGAGCTCCAGGGTTGATGTACTTACATGTAGATTTCACATGATATTAAAGATTAATAATAAAATTTTTTTTAAAATTCTAAAAAAAATTGTTATTAGTCTTTTTAATATCGATATTTTTACAAACACCCTTGATTTATTTAGCCTAAGTGTCTATATTTTTCTGAAAGATTATTTAAAGACACAGTCCGTGTACATACCGCTGTTATCAAATTATTTACATCCTTCTAAAAAATTGTAAATGGTAAAAGTAAATCGTATTGTTACTTTTTTATCTGCAGAAATTGGGTATTTTCGCGTTAAATTAATCATTTTAATGAGGCACTACAAACTCATGAATATAGATTTCCTTACCACTTGAATAATAAGATAATTTAATCACAACATTGAGAAAAAAAGTGCCCTAAAAGCATCGGGCTATTTGTCCTACAATAATTTTTAATTTTGTCTTATTATAATTTAGATATTTTTGGTTTGTTGGGAGTGGATGATAGCCAAATGGCCCATACTTGGTGGCAAATGTTTTTGTAAATTTTTTGATTTAATTATCTTACTTTTCAAATCGAAACTAAATCATTTTTAGTACGTAAATTCACAGATACAATTCACCAATGTCCATATTGACAACGCCTCAGTTCCGGAAATTTAAATTAATAAAAAAGTTGTATGTTACTATAACATGAAGCCATCTACACAGGTTTTAAACGGATGGTAATAATTTAGTAAAAAGAGACAACATTTTTCATGATTATGGTAGTAACTGAAGTCATTTTGATTGCAATTCACTAATCGTTTTCGACCTAGTTTCTTAGACTATATTTTTGAATGTAATGCATCGTAGTAATACTGTATTTATAATTATATGGAATATATTTATATAAACAGATTAGTATAATTAAACTGGTGAAAGTTTGGTTCACTTAAAAGAGGGGATTAAAGTGTTAATCACTGTTATATAAAAACGTTAAATACAACATTTTTAATAAAAATAAAGTTTATATAGTCAAATATTTTTTGTGTAAAGTATCACCTACTGATATCAATATTAGTTATACTTAGGAACTTTGGAGGCTATAAATGGATGTTAATTTTATTATACAACCACTTGGGTAATGTTTATAAAGTTTCAGACTCAAAAAAGTTAGTGTAAATTTTATTACCAATCTGCTTATTACTAGAGAATTTAAAATTTTAATTAGATAATCTATTCCAACTGTTGAAAAGAATAAGAACATACCATGATGGAATTAGAAGTGTAATGAAAATATAACAACAAAGAAACGAGCCCATAATCTAAAAACAAATTTTTTTTTAAGATGCTATAGAGTTCAAGAAACTAAGATATATTGCTAATAAAATTATCAAAGAAAGCAATAATGCATCGTGAAAACAATATGTTTCTTCCATAAATTGCTTAACCCCTTGGAGTTAATTAAGCAAAGCAAATTGATGTGATTGAGACAAGGAACAAGATCATAGCTTACAGATGAGCAACATATAACAACTCTTTTACAAACGATTTCACAATAATTTATACGAACATACTAAGCAGAGATATGGTGACGTGTCTGTCAATATGAGGAGGAGACTAAATAGGCGCTGAATGGGTGACCTCCTTCCTTAACAAACCTTGGTAATTGATTCAAGCCAGGAAAGAGACACCGCGGGGTACTGTATTCTCCATACCTGACTATCTGACATGTCAGTTTCGTTACTTTAATTAGACCATCTGCTGAATGTTAACAGTCATCGATAAGTGTAGATTAATATTTATAAAAAAGATAAGAATATAAGAATCCAGAATTGTAAATATTTTAATTTTGAAATAATCGTACGTTTTTGTGCCAAGAATTATGCGAAATGCGAGGAACATCGTGATTTTTATTTTCAAAGTCCAGAAATGAATTAGAATAGAATAATATAATTGAATGATTTTGAAATGTGTTAAATAATGGCAATTGTATTGCCATCATAAATTTATTCCACAATAACTTACATGGACATACTATCACACTGATTCAAAACATGGCCACGATTAACATGTCCGATAACAGGAGTTGGATGAGAGATTTCTTCACATAAAAATTTACTAAACTCAAGTAAAGAAGTGATACCGTTTGGCACTCCTTTCCCTCACGCGTATCAAGCCAGCAGACTCACTAATTGCCATTACTACTGACAGGTGCAGGTACAGAAATAAAATAAACAAAAAATTTCATTAGATAATTAATGCTTATTACTAACAGTATTTGACTATTTATAGATGAGAGCAAACTGATCACCGTTGTTAAAAATCGAATACATAGTAAAACTATGAGAGCTTATAACCTTGGATACGCCATTTGGAAAGTACATTTTTCTTTTAGACTAAAGGTCTCTTTGTTAAAAAAAAATAATTGATCGACCAAATTAGTTAATTCTGAAAAAAGTATTTTATTTTATAGTTTCTCGTTTAGTGAGTGTACGTAACTGTGAAGCAACTATTTTTCTCTTGGCTGTGCATCCATTATAGGGCCTCGCCTTCTCTTCAATCCTCCCTGTAAGCCTGGATTCTCCATTGACCAATTCCCATCTTCTGCAGATCATCTTCCGCTTCATCGATCTTTCGCAGCCTGGACCTTCTATCCCCTGGTTTTCTAAATAATAGATTTTTGGATATCTATCTTCTCACATTCTTTCCATTACTCCAAGCCATTTTATGCGGCCTGATTTATCATCAATGACTATGTTTGGTTCATTTCATTGTTCACTATTATTTCTTATCTTCCATTGGCCATCTATACATAGTCGTCCAAACATCTGTTTGGACGACTATGTATAATACTCGTCTATACTATGTATAGACGAGTATTATACATACTCATACTATATACTACTATATACTATGTATGTAAGCGCTTTCCCTTCCCAAATCTGATGGTTCTTCTCGTATTTTTGTGTCAGGACCTGAGTTACACCAGCGTATGTGACAACTGCCCTCATGATTGTTTTGTAAATAGTAACTTAGCTTTAACTTAGGTTCATTATGCTAAAAGACATTGTTGCCTGCTGCGTTTCTTACTTTTATTTCCATTTTAAGATACTTTTTGAAGATGTCCACTTTCCTAAATTGTGGTAGTGCAGTGTCCCCTAATTTTTTTAGGAAATGATATTGGATTTCTTTATTTTATTTTTTTGACATTACTGCTTGATAGATCTTTTGTGGTCTTTACCAGCATTTTCCAGCTCCTTTGCCATCTTAATAAGCCTTTCATTTCTATCTATCTTTGAATATTTATTTTCATGTAGCTATTATATCTTTGTTGATTCGAATTATTCATCTGTGTTTTGTTCTTTCATGTGATTTTTTGCTTACTTAAACTTGTCTAATATTAACCTCCTTGTTTTCATATCAGGAGATATTTATTGACCAGTTTCTGTTAGCAACTCTTTACTGCCCTTTCTCTTCTCTGTGTTAGTACTCTGTAGGTTCAGCTTATTCGAATTCCTATAATACTTCTGAGGATGCTGTTTTATATCTTAAAGTTCTTAGTAATGCTTTTTTTACATAATTTTATCTGGATTTGTTGTAGTTATTATAACTTCTATGGAACTATGTTTTTTGAATCATCACCCACAACTGGTTTTTGTACCCTACAATTATTTATTACAATTTTGAAAAGTACGCAATTTATATTTAAGTTTCTGACAAGAATAAAAAAATATAAACCAATTTCGATTAAGGCCATCGTCAAAATTCTAACAAAAATAATAAATGACAAGTTCAAATATGAAAATTTGTGTTATAATCTATTTTAAGTTTGATATATTGCTTATAATTATATAATAAGTTATAATTTATCAAATTATAACTCCGCGACTGAAAGTGTGAATTGTTCATTATAAATTCTTCACTGTGCAGAAGAAATATTGTTGCTAATTGTTTTATTCAGCCTATGAAAACACGCATTCCCATATTAAAATGATCATTTGCTTAGTGAAAAAGAAAAGTCAATTTTATTTCTCCATGTGTTGATAGTTTTGGTACAACATATGGAAAATGACAAAAACAAAATATATATTTTCTCTTAGTTATTTACAATATGAGATGTTATAGCACTCATAAAATGGCTTGTTTCTTAGTTACAAATAATACAGTAGAAAAGAGAAAAAACATTGTTATATTTTATAGAATTGATTCTTAAGGTCAAGATAGTTTATCCAAATATAATTTTTAAAAAGATATATTTTTCTTTATTGAGTTTATGATAAAAAATCTTAGTTCATGATTTGCATACATGTTTCTCATCTGAAAAGAAATAATAATAAATAAGAAAAATTGCTATAAATTATCGAAAAGTTGAGGTAATATTTTTATTTCATTCAATCTAGAGAACTTTGATCCTTTACAAAAATATTTTTTTAAATTTTTGTCTTTACTAGGGATGTTTATTAATTTATTCTTTGCATAAAAAGTAAAATAGTAAACAGGTAAGATGAGTTTTTATCTTTCATTGAATATAGAGATACATATGGGGTAACAATTTATTTATTCCAAAGAAGAGACCAATTGACTATCAATTATTGGTAAACTCATCTGTCCTGAGTAATTGGAACATTAATAAGCCAATATAGTCGTTATGTCAATTTCTTATTCTGGTTCCTGGAGACCTATCAGTTCTGGTTTGGGAGTCATCCAGCCATGAGCCATCAACCCATCATAAAGGACTCAGATATCATAGATGGTCTTAGTGTTAGGTATCTCAAGCTTTATGGGCTATGGAAAGTCATCAACGACTACAGAGAAACTGGAAAGAAGAACGTCATAATAAAATTTCATCTATTAGCAACGCTAGTCCTTGCGTTACCGAGCATAATTTCCCAAATGATAAGCTACTTCGTAATCGACATCGACATACAGAAGGTGACCATTTTGAATTTCAACACGATACCAGCATTGCAGATGTGTTGTAGGCTACTTACATTCTGGTTCTGTATGGAGAGGCAGTGCAGGCTTTACAGCTTATTGCGAAAAGATTTTCTCGAATTACCTCTAAAAAATCTGGCAGATAAGGAAAATGTTTTAAAGAAAATCAGTAAAACATCGAATTTCTGTTGTACGATGTCCTTGATTGTGAATTTTAGTATCGTTGCTCTTTATATTATTTATCCTGGTGTATCAGTGGATTATATATTATACCATACTGGAAACATGGCTGATGTTAAAACTGGAAAGAACAAGATACTGGGATGTTGGTATCCTATACCAATGGGAGAATCGCCTTACTACGAAATGATGTTCATTTTTGAGGCAATTGTTCTCACTTGGGGTGGATTTCTTTTGCAAGGTTATTTCTGTTTGTTTTATCAAGTTTTGATGTGTCTTTCTGCGCAGTTTGCTGTCCTTGGGCAACACATATCTTCCTTAGAGCCTGTTCGATCTAGAAAGAATATGCAGAACAATTTTCCAGTTTACACAGAACTCCATAAGATCGTAAAAGAACACCAGAAACTGTTAAGGTAAAATATCTTATGAAATATTCATACATATTATTTTTGGATTTCAATTAGGCATATAAATATATATATATATATTTTTTATCTTTCAGATATACAGACGATCTCAGGAGTGTATACAATCCATTGGTTACAATGACACTTGGCATGGGAGTTCTAATTTTGATTATTGGAGTTTCTCAATTTCTTTTCGTAAGTAATATTAATTTCTAAACATGAGTGTATGTGGCTAAAGCGCTCTCGCTCAATCTCCAATGGCCTTAGCACCATTGACGCAGTTGAGAGAGTAGCGCAGGGATCTCTTGGAGTCCTGCTTTTCTCTCTATAGTTGGAGGGACAAGCCTGGCTTGGGTTTCCCAAACTGATTGTATAAATTATATATAAGAATGACTGAGTTTTTATGTTTTTAATTTACTTATCTTTAGGTTATTTTATTTTTTATTGTACATAGTTGTTTGATTATTATTTAGTTATTATTTTACTTTTGTTAATTTTATAATTTCTGCATGTATGGTATGAATGTGTTCATATCTCACTATAATTATTGTACACGTGACATATTATTATATTTCTAAATAAATAAATAATATATTTAAAAAATATATAAAGAGCTTATACAGCATTGGAATGGTTTTTATTGTAGATGAAAAATACCTTGAGAATACGTATGCTTAATGTTCATTTTTTTTATTTATACTTCACATATTTAGCTAGTAAAAGACAAACATAAAAATTAGGATCTTATTAAAACCGACATTCGACTAACAACTGGCCACAGTTTGGATGCTTATTGAAAAGCAAATGAAAAGGAGCTCGACGAGAGACCTATGAAATAAGAGACTAAATCATAACCGAGATGATGGATTGATTTTTTTTATCCTTCTTCATGAATAAAATGTCTCAACCAAATTTATTGACTTAGTTTTATATTTTCGCTCACATACGGAATAAATGTGAAAAATGATACAAATTTAAAAATAAATATATTATTCATTTTTTAGTAATTATGCCTCTGTAATTTATTATGATAATTATAATAGTGAATATAGGATGTGTTTGTCGACGGTTTTTACATGTCAAAATGTTTAGTTTTGCTATTTACCTACCAAAAAGGTTTTCATAATAATCTTTTAAGTTTGTAGTTTTTTTTTTTTTTGCCATTGCATATATTATACAGTGAATAATAAATTGGTATGGCATATTTCCGTGTAAGCGGATTGTATTATTTTAATTCTGGCTTATTTTAGTTTTTAATGGTTTGGCTGAAAAAATAGCACAGTCGTTTCAGTCGCCTGTTTATTACATTTTGAAAATTCATTCTTATTTTATAATATAGTACAATAAAGTTTAAAAATATATATATTTTCAATGTGAATACTTTTGTTTTTTCCTCTGGTATGTTGTAAAAATAAATATATGGATGTAAAAAAATAAATAAATTTAAACGAACTAATATCCAAGTACCAGAAAACAAAAAATATCTTTTCATTATATTTCGAAACAGCCAACAGACATAACCAACTATTTTAATTTAGCAATTGCATTTATTTTTAAAATAAATTCGATATTCATTTATCACCTAAACACAATATTTTTCAACATTATCTATTGGTTCAATATTTTTCACTGTATATTTATGTACTGTATGAATATGTAATAGCTATTGTTCTCTAACTATATTTATTGAACAAAAAGTACTGTAATAATAGTTTAAAAAAAATAAAAACATTAGAATTTAGTTTCTCATTTTATTTCAGGCGAAAACCGGAGATCCTGTCTATATCTTCAGATTTATCCAGCTTTTGGCTTACCAAGGTATTGAAGTCTCTACGATCTGTTTCGGTTCTTCGGCCCTCGAGACTGCCGTAAGTAACAATAATAATTAATTTTAAAAACAAACCAAATATTACAAATCCTTACAAATTAGTTAACTTCAAACGAGCATAAATAAAAAAAATTGAGAGGAGGACTATGTCACATATCAATAGATAAAGGACCCCAATGCTTTCTTAAGTTTGTAGGTTCCTCTTCAAATCGTAAATATACCAGTTAATTTTTAATTTTTTTTGTCTATAAAAATTTATTTGCGCCTGTCAACTTATTGTTAACAATTAGCAAATATGATGGCGACACATGAAATAATGACATGACAGACATAGGAAAAGAAAGTTCTCAGCAGTATCTTTTCCCTAACTTGTTCCAATTACTTAGGTTGTTTAAGGAAGGAGATTCCTCATCCAAAGCCTTTTTAGTCTCCTCCTCATGTTAGGTATGTCAGCTGTGGACATGTCTCTTATTAGTGTGTAAGTTTATAAAGTTTAAATTAGTGTAAAATCTTTGATAAAGGATCTTTATATGCTGGTCAACTGTTGGAAGGTGGAGGTCAGTATGTAGAGTTTTATTAGTCACATACCAAAGTGCTTTTGTTAATAGTCGCAATAATTTTGATTGGAACGTTTGAAGTTTTTGTAGGTGGGTCTTTTTAGCGATACCGAATATTTGTGGTGAGTACATCCATATGGGCTTAGGTGAGTATGTATATGTATTCTGTTTGAGTTCTAGTTTTGAAGATTTAGAAAAAAGGGAATAAAGTAGTTTGAGTCATTTATTAAGTGTCTTACGTTTCATTTTAACATGCGGACACCATGTCATCCTTCTGTCGAAGGTGAGTCCAAGGTAAAGTACCGTTTCCGTTTGAGGAATTTGATTGTTTGTGTAGAGTCTTGATGTTTTGTGAAAATTGTTGTATCGTCTGCATATGTAGCAGTCAAGATATCATCGTCAATAGGTATATCGTAAGTGTATATAACGTAAAGAAGAGGGACTAGTATTGAACTTTGGGAAACTCCTGCCAAGATTGGACGAACTGAAGACATTTCCGAGCCCTGCCGAACTGAAAAAAATCTGTCGAAGAGGAAAGATTGAAGGATACGATAGTACGTATAGTCTTAAGTTTTAAGAGAATACATATAAAATACTCCAGTTGCATATATTTTTTGTTATAAACCTCCAGCAATGTAGTCTGTTTCTCTGTGCAATTGATGTGTCGTCGAATGGAGTGTGCGAAAGCCGAATTGGTGGTCAGGTATTACCTGTTGGTCAGTCAATATGCCGACAAGTCTTTTGTATGTTAAATTTTCAAAAACTTTAGAGCATATAGGAAGGAGGCTAATGGGTCTGTAGGATGAAGAACTATATATGTCCTTACCGGGTTTGTGAATCATCTTAATGAGTGAGTATTTCTATTGTAAAGGAAATTTTGAAGTCCTTAGTATACAGTTGGAAATTGTTGTCAGAAATATTAGTGCTTTCTTGGGCAATTGTTGGAGTGCTTTGGCTGTTATTAAGTCATAACTAGGAGTTTTTCTTTTCGGTAATTGTTTGATTTGAAGTGCAACCTGAGATGGAGTAAAAGAAGGAGGTGATAGTGTCAGCTGAAGTGGGATATCTAATACGTTAAATACTAGAGCCTCATATTCTGTGTTTGTAAAGATAATAAATGGTGTAAATATAGATGATAGATGGTCACCAAGTAGTTCAGATTTTTCCCTATCCGACAAAGCCCATGAACCATTTTTTTTTTCTGTATATTCATTATAAACCATTCTGTTAATTTTTTTATTCATATCTGTTATTCATAAGCGACCTCGTCCCAGAATAAACTCTACTTTTTCTCAGGAGTACATAGAATTTTTGTATGAGTCGTTTAGATACATAATTCAGTCTGTTAAATGATAGTTTATTTGAGGGAAGTCTGTTAGTCTGCCATATCTAACGGGCTCTTCTCTTTGCCATGATTATGTTCTTATACACTGATGATATCACACTGATGATAGATCTCGGCAAGTTATTAAAATTAAAATAAATAAAATAAAATTAATTCAGTAAATTATATGAATTTTAATAATAAATTTATTAATTTTTTTATCGGAAAAGTATACGGTAGTTAATAATCTGTGGAATCGCAATGTGCACTTACAGGTCGCAGTCAGTGGATAACCGATTAAATAAAAATATGATGTCTCTAAATCGAAAATATTAGACAGATTCCTGAGCGTTTAAAAAAATACAAATACATTCAAATTATTATATATTAATTATGTTTTGCCTTTTCTTTGCTAGGGTTTTCAAATCATTACAATTCTCTTTTCTTTATGTACAGAATAGTATTAAATGACTTATAATGTATTATAAATTACAAAAACCAAAAATTGCTTCCATTAAGGTAGAAAAAATCAATTTTAAACATGAAAACGAAAATTTAATACTTCTTAATCGTTTTTTTAAAGTTTAAATTCGAATTTTTTAGAAATCAAAAAATATATTGCTCATTACTTGAATTTTTTGCAGGAGTTGTTTTACTTTCGGTCTTTAACTTGAGTATTTATAACTGTTTAGAATTTTTCCCAAAATCAAACTTAATGCAATTTTTAGAAACATGAAATGTCCTTTCGACCAGACCAATTTCTTACACCTTTTATCATGTAAAATAAAGAAAAATATTTTATTTTTGTGAAATAAAGACAAACACCTCAAATATCGTTAGTCTATAGACTTGGTTTTCATTTGTTTACCGAGGGTGAATTGTATATTGTATGCTATAGGATCCTAAATTACTATTAATTTTCAAGTTGATTGGTTGTTTCGTCTAGAAGTTATCAGTATTTTCGTGGTTGTCGAAAATATTTTCATATATGTCCAACCTCTGTATAAAAAAAATATATTTTTCAAGTTTTAAAAATTCATATTTACGATATTTTTGAGGAGTAAAAAGCAAATACCAACTTTTTTTCGTTCACAAAAACATTTTACATTAGATACTGGACGCAACTTGGCCAAATCAAATTTGGCATTTAGTATAAAAAGAATCTTAAAATTTGGCAAACCCCGGAAGCGAAATGGGAGAAACGTTATTGAATTCGTTAGAGAAAATTCTAAGGACTTTGTGAAAGAGCCTGCATCTGGCAGAAGAAAGTTTCTATTCAAAGTAGAATGGTAAGTTTAAGTTTGGTAATGCCCGCAAGTTCGTTCTGTAAAATTATATATTTTTTTTTATTATTTTAAAAATCCTATGTTAGAATCCAATACATAGTACAATGCAAAGCTTCTCTTTAACTTTTCTTCCACAGACAGAGCTCTGATTTGCATTTCGCCATCTACAACAGTGACTGGTACAAGGCGGATGCCAAGTTCCGCAAGATGGCGCAGATGGTGATGTTGAGAGCGGAGAAAGGTGTGACTCTCACCGCGATCCGGATGTACCCAGTGAATGTGGAAACCTTGATGGCGGTATGTATCACTAGTATATAATATACGGCAGTGGCCCCGTGACTGGCCAGATTCTTCACTCAAGTCCTGAGCGTCTGTTGCTCTAGTGCCCTCCATCAGCCTCCACTGGCTTGCAATACCAGTGGCACGGCTGGGAGAAAAGCAATAGAATTTCCTGAAGTCCTGCTTTGGCTTCCACATTTCTGGGACAAAGCTTGATTCAGATTCCTCTCGGTCAATGAAAATATTGTACATAGGTGTGAATGTGTTTTATTTATTTTATTATCATTCAGCTTTAATCTGTTATTTTATTTATCTTGTATATTACTTTATATTTTTTTTCTTATTTGGCTATTTTTATTTATTTTTCTTTCTTATGCACATATTGAAAAATATTTTTTTTTTATTATCCTGTGACTGTTGTCCCTTTAGGACAAATTACAGATACAGAATAAATGCCTGTGTGGCCATACATAAAATTAATTATTTACATTTATTATTAAGATTAAGATTTAGAAAAAATAATAAAACAAAAAATATAACTATTACACTAAAAACATTCTGATATGTATAATACAAACTATATAATAAAATAAAATAGCATAAGTAAAGAAAATCATTTCTGGGGGAACTTTAAAAGTTCTCTTATCTACATTTCATGATCAATCGGGTTGGGAAAGAAGTAGGTGCTTAAAAAGGAGAGATTTAAATGAGGAAACTGATTGTACATGTCGGATATCCGGAGGGATGGTATTCCAGGAGACGGCTTGAATTATAAAGGATTTGTCAAACGCTGCAGTTCGGTGAGGAGGTGGATAGAGGTACGAGATCTAGTGAGACGGGATTGAATGGAATATTTGAATTGTAGGTTGTGAAAAATATAGGAAGGCCGCTGAGTTCTGATGACTTGGTATAGAAAAGTGGCAAGGAAGTACAAACGTCGGTTGGATGGATGGAGAGCCACTTCAACTTGGTGTAATACTGGGTTATGTGCGTATCTCTTGAGATTCCGAAAAAAAAACGTATTGCGCAGTTCATTAGGCGTTTAAGTTTGGCCTCGAATTCTCCCGAGTGTCCTCTGTACACCAGACAGCCATAGTCGAAGTGGAGGAACACAAGGGAGGAAAACAAGAGTTGACGGGATTTATATGGAAGGAGATAGCGGAGACGGTTAAACTGTTTCAGGGTAGAGATAGTACGACGGGAAATTTGGGATATGTGTGGTTTCCAGCAGAGGGTTTGATCGAATGTAACACCAAGGTTTTTTACGGAAGTATGGAATGAGATAGGTGAGTTGTTCAGGAAAAGATTGGGGAGTATCTGCATATATCTGTATATTGTGTGAATGAATAATATAGCCCTAGTACCAATTTCCTTCAGTGTGGCAGACTGTATTAATACTCAATAAAAAAAAAAAATATAATATATATTTATAAAGCATTTTCTTAAGAGTTTTTATTGTTATTGTTATTATTTTTATTGTTTTCTGTTGGCAGTAATCAGCCTATCTTAGGCTATTTATTTCAAATTATCTGCAAGCATTTAATTCTTTATTGGCTCTATCTATCCTTCTGGTTTTTGATCTTTCATATGGACGTTTGACTTCTTAAGACATTCATTATTGTGTTGAGGCTCTCAGATAGATAACTCTGAGCCTGCCCATCTTAAAATTCTTACATTCATATTACGAGTTATTGATTGACCAGTATCTTTATTGATCTTTCTTCTCCATTAGCTAGTATTCTGATCCCAGATATTCGGGTTATAGTCCGGAGAATCTTAAATCATTGAATAATTTTTCTTGGGTGGTAGTTACTGTCCAGGTCCCTGCAGACGTGTATCAGAACTGGCTTCATCATAGCATTATACACCCTTAATTACTAATACTAGAATAGCCATCGATGACATCTGTATCCTATCAGTTAATAACGATCTATCTATTGTCTCCCAAATTCTTCAATCACACATCACAAGTCTTGAAAAATGGTGTCAAAACTGGAGGATTAAAATTAATATGATCAAATTACCTTTACTCTTCGTCGTAAACCTATGACTTCCTGTCCTACAGTATCCTTTAACAATAGCCCCCTTATTTCTTTTGAAAAAATCCGAAACCTAGGACTCCACCTGGATAAACGATTCACTTGGAACCCCATACCAGACTGAAACGACTAGAAACCGCAGCACTTACTATACAAACGCTCTAAACTTCTAACAATTTACAAAAGACTCATATATATTACTATAATAATGCCTATTTGGACTTATAGAGTTGAGCTTTGGGGTTCTACTAAACCATCAAATTCCACTCGTATCCAATCCCTACAATCCGAAATCCTTCGTAAAATCCTCAATGCTCCCTACATGGTCGCAAAAAAAATCATCCATAACGACTTTAATGTACTATATGTTTCCGATTTAGCTCAATCCAGATACCTATCTTACCATAGTAAACTTCTGAACCATCCGAACCCTCTTGTTACCTCTTCTATTCCTGATAACTCTCAGAGGAGTCTGAAAAGAAGATGGCCCCGTGATCTCCTAATGTAGTCATATCTAATATAGAAATATAATTGGAGTGGTTCCTTCCAAGACAGTTTTATAATTTGCATATCCAAAGAGTTATTGATTCAATCTGACGTGCACTCCTCCATTTTCACACAATGTTGCTATCGGCTTCTTCATTTCTAAATTGAACAACATAGGTGAGAGCTCATCTGCGTAAGCTAGTTCAAAATTTGAATCCTCCAAATACTTTTCAGATACTCTCTGGACTCGACATTTATGGTAATTTTTATACCCTTTTGTCAACATCACCAACTCCCAATAGCAGAGTGGTTAGCATATTATACTAGGAATTTTTTGAGTAATTTTTGCTAGTCCCAGCTAGAAGGTAGACCATACCTCCTTAATTAGGGGGGGGGGAGCTACAATTTGTAACTTACTTACAAGAACAGGGTAGTAAAAAGATTAAAATAATAACACAAACAATAATTTATTACGAAAAATTATTCTATTTATAATGAAGTAAACATAAATTTATTATATATCTATTTTAGGCCAAAGGTCACCAAAAAAAACACAGTTTTTTTATCTCCTGTATGCTTTATTCAACGATTCGGCTTCAGGAGCCATTTTCAAGAACCTGCAAAACTAATTTTAATTTATTTTTTACCATTCAAATACAGCCTCAGACACATATTATTTAACAACCACAAGTAATACATTTAGTTTAAAAATTTATTTTTAATTTTGAATAAACTTATATCATCCACATACCAAGCACCGCGGCAAAAAATTTTTAAAATTTATCATTGCGCGATTTTTAAAATTTTTATGGCGCGGTGCATGGTAGGTGGATGATATAAGTTTATTCAAAATTAAAAATAAATTTTTAAACTAAATGTATTACTTGTGGTTGTTAAATAATATGTGTCTGAGGCTGTATTTGAATGGTAAAAAATAAATTAAAATTAGTTTTGCAGGTTCTTGAAAATGGCTCCTGAAGCCGAATCGTTGAATAAAGCATACAGGAGATAAAAAAACTGTGTTTTTTTTGGTGACCTTTGGCCTAAAATAGATATATGATAAATTATGAGAAAATGGCACCAAACCTGAGGGATATGACTAGAAAATTAAAAATAAATTTTCAAATAAAATAAGAGAATTTTTCAATGGGTTTTATTTATTTATAAAATGGAAGGTTAAAATATTCAAAATGTTAAAAGGTATATCAATTTTATATTTATTTATATGAACACTAAATAACATAATTGTGATTTATGATATTTTTTTATAATTTTTTTTTCAGATTCTGCAGTTCACATACTCGGTATCTACAGTGATGTCAAGAATGACTGAATAGACAAAATTAATATATATATTTTAAAACTATATCACATTTAAGTATTCATACCTTATGTAACAATTATCAGAAATATAGACATTAGTTTTGAACAGTAGGGTATTACTCAACAACTTAATTTTAATGTAGATGACTTTTTAATTATATACAACAATATCTTGTTATCCTTATAACAATCCTTACCAATACATAATATTCTATTTGATATATGTTAGCAGGAGTACCTCTAGTGCTGTATTGCACTCCACTAGTGTTGCCCAAAAGCAATTTGCAAGACCAAGACCAAGGCCACCTGACTGTTGCAAGACCAAGACCAGGACTGGTAAAAAACATCGATTTATTAAAATAAAAATTAAGGCAAAACAGTTACTAATACTTGAAAATCTCAGATAGTATATGTTAATAATTGGTATAACCAATATACTTTTGCATTTAACTCCTCTAATTTTTCATCCCGGCTTAGTTAGGTTTCTTCTTTCTAAGAAATTACAGTCATAAGCTAATAAGTGACTGCAAGACTGTTAGGAGACTCTTGCGCAAGAACAAGATTATGACCAAGACTCGTATCGGTCTCGCATTTGGGCAACACTACTCTCTACATTTTAAAATCACAATAGACATGTAGTTCTAACTGTTTAATCTTATTGCTTCTTAACAGTTTTGCTTCTTGACTCTATATCTCTCTTATTCTAGTTGATAAAATAAACCTTACTATATATAAATATTTACTATATTCTTATATTTAAAAAAAAACATTGCTGATGTTTTTGTTTTTTAAATTATACTAGCTCCAATCTTTCGACTGTTAAAGAAATTATACTGACCCAATTAAAAAGATTACAAGAACAACCCAAAACACTCGTAAAGGACATGGCCACAACACTCAGTTCAGGAAATACCCGTTGAAGTGATGCAGGATGAATGATCTGTCATAATTATTGTTAATATTACGGAAGAAGGTCCTGTAAGAAACAAATTCAGGAAATGTCCTTCAATTGTCAATTCAATTAACACAAAGTTGATACATGTGGGTTAAAAAAATCTTCTTAAATGAAAATTTTTAACTGATAGAAAAACAATAGTTTTATAGTTTTTCACACTGAACTCCTCAAGTTACTATACAAACTGTATTACAATGTTAAACATTTCTTGATTTTAGAACTGTTAAATTATGGAATGTGGTATAGGACAAAACGTATTATAAATGTTTCACTCACTCTCCTAATTGATATTTTAACAAAATACCGTAATAAAGTACTTTCATTCTTTCGTTATTTATATTTCCTATTCCTCTTGAATTAAAATAAGAATTTTCTATTATAAAGAAAGAATGAAAGAAAGTCATTCTGGGACATTTAGTCCCCTCAAAATAACTACAATGTACAGAGAAATGACTACTGTCTGGCGATTGTGAATAATTAAATGACAATTAAAAATAAATCAATTTATAAAGTTGTCCAATCTGAATATTAAAATTAAAAACATGCAAATTTTTCACAATATTAAAAATTCTTAGTATTAAAAATAAAGACATTGTAGTAAACATATGATCTTGAAGAAGACATATGAATTTAAAGATGATTACATACAGGTGAGTTCAGGTATTTGAACAAATAAGCAATATGGCACAAACATTGATATCTGCAAGATATCGGTATAGTGTGACTGACATCTTCAAAGTACAACATAACTTTATTTTACATATATTAGGAAGATTTTTTACTGAGCAGATGAAAACATAAATTATATTTATATGAGGTCAAGGATGAGGATTTTTTAAAGGAAACATTTCTATGAGAAGGAATAGACAAATATGAGGATTGGGATCTCGTGTTGAACGAATGAACAGAGGAACAAGGAGTAAGGAAATCAAGAAGGAAAGAAGGTTTTTTGGTTGTGAATGTTCGGAAAAGGAGGAACTAGGAAATATTTCCGTCGGAAAACTAGATAGAGCCACTTCAACTCGGTATAGCAACTGGAGACGTGGGAGCGCCTGGGGAATCCAAAGATAAATCTAATAAAAACAATTCATTAGTCCAATAAATATTCTTCATTGAATATAATATATCAAAACATGTACACAATGCTATATCTTGCTAATAATAAGTTTAATATTTGACTTTTACTCAACCCTAAATGGAATATATAGAAGGAAAAGTATTGTGATCTTAAATTTGGAATCTTAGTTTTGAACGTAATTAAAAGTTTTGAGATCTCTTGAATCTAAAAAAACAAGTCCCATAAAAGGTGTGTCTGTTTTTTTTATACTACAAAATGGACGAAACTGATATTACATATTTAAGAGAGGTATAAGCATGGTGTTACAGCAAAATGTTCAAAAAACGATTTTTATATTTAGATTTTATCTACTCTGATCCTGAAATAGTATCCTTAAATCTAGAATCGTCTTAACCTAAATCCCAACCCATATGATCAGTGCCTTTTACAATTCACTGCCATTATATTATATATTGGGTCAAATTGAACACGCAGTTTTCAAACTATTGGCTATTCAAATAATACGTTTACTGATCCAAACGCAAAAGTATTTTTTTAGGAATAGTGGATATAGTTTGATAAAATTCATACCGAATTTATTATCTGTTCACCAATCCCTAACTTAAAATTTGAGCCAAATCGTACATGCAGTTTTAGAGATATAGACATATCAAAGAAAAGACGTTTGCTCATATATAACAGACATCAGTGGACAGAATTCATTAAAATTAGCATTACGTTTGCGCGTGCGTAAGCGGAAGTGCTGGATGGAATTTGATAAAATTGATATGGGACTATCTAGGCACCAATAAGTACAATCCCTGAAAATTTCACGAAAATCAGATATGCCCGTCACATCGATTTTAATACAGACAGACTTTGAACCAAATTTGATTATTGATCTTTGAAACGTAAAACGTGAGTGGAAATTTTTGATTCTAAGCACATTTTTTTTTTAACCTCTTGCTCGAACAATATGCTTCCTTACCATTGGTAGTGAGGATGAAAAAAATTAATAAATATATTTAATAAAAAAAAAAAAAAATTGAATGCGGAGCGAGCTACGAACACGAAACCTATGGGTTTAAAAACATATGTTAATTAACCTTGTAACCTATCGTACCTTCTTACTTGGCTAATATTGATTTTCTCTAATCCCTTCAACAGGGATTTACAATTCTTCATTAAACCTTTAAAAAATATCAAAATAATACTTAAAACCTGAAAACTTTAAAACACAGAAGAAAATAAAACTGGCTATCATTAATACCGATTATGAATTTACTTATTTTTATTGACTTAAATAACACTTAAAGGAAATGAAAATAATGAACAAGAAATTAAATTTATAAAAAAATACAATAAACTTTAATTATCAAAGAAAAGAATATGAAAAGATTATAGAAATAAACTTTAACATAGAACTAAACAATACACCAATTACAGATGTTTGAAAAAAAATAGGTTTGAAAAAAAACTTATATATACATATTTACAAAATCTCAATAGTGAACTTTGCCAAATTGGCTCATTGAGTCTTCTGAGGAAGCGAGAACTTATTCCAGCTAGCGTCGTCTAGGTCTCCCAATCTACCTCCTCGAGCTGTGAAAATGTTTATCCACCATCTTGTAAAATCGAGCGGCACTCGTCGCTGATAATCACAGGCTGGGGAAAAAGAAAAATGCGGCGTACACCATAAAACTAAAATATTTCACACAAAATTTGTTAGCGTGCCTCTTTCGAGATTCCAAAGTATTGATTTAATGTTAATTTTAATTTTATAGTTGTAATTTTTTTTTAACAACTTTCCTACTATTTATGAGATATATTGTGAGGTTCATAGTAAAACATCATAATAATTTTAGATTTTGTTTTGTTTTGATATCTAAAAAAATGCCGCAGTTACAGGATATGCTAATACTGACTCGAACTAGGCAGCCATATTTTTTGCACTATAACTAATAGAACCAGTTGCGTCTCATTCATTAAATTCGGATCATACATTCCTATCATTACGAGGTATAAACTGTATCAATTTCATAATTTTTATCGAGTCCCTTTTGTGATATATAACATCAAAAATCGACGAAAACGACTTTTCAGCGTTTTTGAAAATTCATATTTAAAACAAGACAAGACAAGTTTTTCAATACTTGAATTTCATAAGCCAGAAGTACAGTAATAGGACTACATATTAGGAAAAAATTAAAGTTGAGACTCTTTTTTTATCACACTTTTGTAGCTATAAAAGTCACTTTTTTACTTTCACTCACCTATATATGAAATATATAGTAAAGAGAAGTATTGCGATCGTGAAAATTTTCGAATCTCAGTTTTCAACGGCAATACATGTTTTGAGGTCCCCTGAGTCGAAATAACCAAGTCTCGCAAAATGGTCTGTGTGTGTTTGTGTTAACAGTCTTGCTCAAAAACGAAAAGTATTACGAAACTGATATTAAGTATTTAAGGTTTGTATATGGATCAGATGTGACAGCAACTTTTTCGTTAAAATCGGCTAACCGAAAGTGCCACTTTATAACAACGCTGAAACACATTTTAAAATTTTCTCAAAAACGGCTCTAAAGATTTTGATTAAACTTGGTGTATCATTGTAAAATTAAGTGGTCTTTAATATCAATCAGGTCTTATCCCCATTGATGTCACTTTACAGGGCTTAAATGCCTAATGTTCATATACGTCTTCCACTAAAGTACCTTAATATGGTTTATTTAAAAAAAAAATCATCTTAAGTTATTCAAAGTTACGAAAAAATGCTAAATATAACTTTTGAAAGAATTTGATAAGTTAATAAGGGAGAAAAAAATAAAAATGCTTATCCAGGTCGAAAATGAATCTCCGGAAATACCAGTCAGAAGGTATACGTATACTATACCGTTGGAAAGCGAAGAATTTTAGAAAAAACAATATCTAATAAGGAAGTTGTAGTATTTAAAGGAGAGTGGCAAAAATATTATAAATAACTATGGCGAAAAACTAACATTATTTAACGTAAATCACATGTTTCCAAGGAAATTAAATAAAATTTTATTACTATATGTAAACTTTTAAATGTTTTTCGAAGATTGAAAAAAAAGTATTTGAAATCCTGCTAATCAAGCCAATGTCATTGTTCAAAATACTATTTCATTGCACTTGTGTGAAGGAAGAAGTGAAATATAAAAATATTTCATGGATATGCTTATAACCTCAAATATACTTACTATAGTATTAACTCTAAGTAAGATATTATATTTAAATATTTAGGTGTCTATCTGCCGTTGAGTCCAAAAAATCACTAAGTAATCTTTTAGAAAACTAAATTAGTGAATAATTTGATGAATTTTCCCTTTGTGAAATCTCAACATTATTCACTTACAATTAGTGTGACAACTTTTGACCTATCCATGGAATGACAATGGAAATCTCGTAATTTTGTTTTAGTAAACTTTAGAATGGAAAACATTAGGTTAATAACTAATGGTCCTACGATCCATAATCATGTATAGGTTAAATATTCAGATATACTTTCAAATCTCTGTAGCTATATATGAGCCTTTAGGTTGACAGAATGACTAACTGCAATTCCAATACTCTTTATTATTAATTTTAGTTGTAAAATTTATACCTTTATTCACAGTTCTATATTTCAACACCGCAATCACTTACTCCGGAATCAACTTACTCACTTTCCGTATAGATAACTTTTTCAACTATAATATCGCTAAAATGACATTAATAAAAACTATTGAAATTGGAGTTCGTCATTCTGTCAACTGAAAGGCTCAAAGACTACAGTTGTGTGGTTTGTAATAGTAGATGGAGTGAGTAAATTATGAATGAAAAAACGTACGTAGGCAGCAAAAGGAAGTGGAAACCTGATCTCGTTTGTTCTTGAATGGGAAAGATATTCGTAATAGATGCCCAGATCGTTGGAGATAATCCGAGTACCTCTTACTGGCACAGAGTAAAAATTAACAAATACAAAGCCTTAGACTGTAGAATGGCTATTGGTCGAACAATTAAGGTGCCATTCATGGACTTTCCTGTACTTTGACCTGGAGAGGAATATGGTGTAGAGATTCTATGCGAGACTTTTCAAGATTGGGACTGACAAAGAAAACGATGAATCACATAACATCAAGTGTTCTGAAGGGATCCAACATGAATAATTACGGTTGGCATAAATTGTTAAACCGTTGAAGGTGTATGTGTGAGAGGGCATGTGAGTGTGACTCTGTGTGTGTGTGCGTGTCCATTTATTTATATATATTTTTATTTTATTTTATTTTATTATTTTTTTTTGTTAGTCAAGTAAATTTAACTAATTGATTGTTAATATTATTTTTATTGAATTTTGCATGCATTGGGCCTTTATATATATTTAAAATATTTATGACGCAGCAAGTTATTGTATAAATATCTGCATAGTTTTTGACGAAAATCTTAATGCTTGTGCGACCTGGGGACACTAACCCAGGATTTATCTTTATATTTTTATTTTGTTTTGCTTTTATTTTTATTGTTTAGTTTTAGTTTTTGTTTCTTTTATGGTGAAGGTAGCACCATGTTAAGGTAAATTGAATTGTGAATACGGAAATTCTGTAAGTAAAATAAAAAAAAAAAAAAAAAGCATGTATTTTCTGCCAAATAAAGAAATATAATTTATTGTCTATCGTTGATATTATAAATAGACTTTTTGTAATTATAATGGTCGTAATGATTTTCTATCTGTAGGCTTTAAGTCTTAGCTCCGTTTAAAGTGCACTTCAAACATTTTATAATAGCCCAGCATTGCCAGAAAATAATTTCTATTCTATTCTAAGTAGAGCGGTAAGTGAAAGTTGTGTGTTGCGCGCACCAGATTTTTAAAATCGCTTTTCTTTCTTTTTATCTGATAAATTGCTGAACTCAAATGTAGAAAAAAATACTTTGAATTATTTCAGTTTTTATTGTGGCCTGATATCTAAAAAATGACATACAGGCATTTTACCAAAACATGTTCTAAGTAAAAAAAAAAAAATAATAAAAATGACATCAGTGAAAAACCTGTGAGCTTCAAACATTTTTTAAGTACGATTTTGAACTCTCAAATAAATATGAAATAATTGGTAAAAAACTATAAAAATTAAAAATGTTGAAGTAGCATGGTCTGAGTGATTTCAAATTTACCTTTTTACAAACTATTTTTTATTTTATTCTTCGTCACAGTATTAGATAGTCAACTGCTTCAAACGCTTTGAAAAAAAAAATAAGAATGAGGATAGTACATTTTTGGTGTTCAATGGAGTTTTGGAGTTCATGTGTTATTTTTAGGAGGGCAGATGGCACTGAGTAGCCAGATTTAATATACGTTTCTCTTTGATTTTGGATAAGGCGTTCCTTCTGTAATGCAAGATTCTATTGTTGGAGTTGTATTGTATTGTATTGTGAAATTCATGTAAGGATTAATTAATGAGGGTTGGGAGATAGGTTTGTTAATTTCTATATTCTTTTTTAACATGTATATAAATTGTTTTTAATTTTTCGTCGAATATTTGAAATTTTAAGACAGATAAAATACGTTTTTATCTCTCATTGAATATAGAGCTACAAATGAAGTAATCAGTTATTCATCTCTACGAATTGATCAATTGATCATCTATTATAAACCAGTCTGGAGTGAATAATTAGGACATTAATATGCCAATATAGTCGCGATATCCATTTCTTATTCTGTTTCCTGGAGACCTATCAGTCCTGATTCGGGAGCCATCCAGCCATGAGCTACCAGCCCGTCATTAAGGACTCCGATATCATCGATGGTCTAAGTGTCAAGTACCTCAAATTCTACGGGCTATGGAAAGTCATCAACGACTACAGGACCACTGGAGAGAAGAACGCCATGATAAGATTACATATATGGGGCACGATATTCCTTGTGTTTCCCTGCGCAACTTGTCAATTAATATCTTACTTCGTCATTGACATTGACATACAGAAGATTACGATTTTGAATTTGAACACGATACCAGTTGTGCAGATATTTTGTAGAATTCTCACATTCTGGGTCTTTATGAAAAGTCAATGCAGGCTCTTTAACTTATTAAAGAAAGATTTTCTCGAAGTACCGTTAAAAAATCTGCCAGAAAAGGAAAATATATATAAGAAGATCAGCAAAACTACGAATTTCTTTTGCACGATATCCTTTATTGTGAATGTTAGTATTATTACATTCTATGTTATTTATCCTGGTGTATCAGTGGATTATATATTATATCATACCGGCGATATGGCAGATGTTAAAACCGGAAGGAACAAGATACTGAGCTGTTGGTATCCTATACCGATGGCAGAATCCCCTTATTACGAAATCATATTTGTCTATGAGACAATGATTATTGCATTGGGTGGAGTTTTTTTGCAAGGTTATTTCTGTTTGTTTTATCAAGTTTTGACGTGTCTTACTGCGCAGTTTACAGTTCATTGTCAGCATGTGTCGTCCTTAAATCTTGAATATAATCGTAGAAGAAATGAGAAAAGCATAGACAGTTTTGATAAAATTAAAAATTCAACAGCTCAAAAAGAGCTATTTAAAATCCTAAAAGATCATCAGAAGCTTTTAAGGTAAAAAATAATCTAAAATGTATACAGTTCGATTATGTATTGGTAATTCAATCATGCATGTTATAATTATTTTTTTCAGATATGCAGACGAGCTGAGGAGTGTATATAATCTATTGGTTACAATAATACTTGGCACGGGAATTATAATTTTGATTATTGGAGTATTCCAATTTCTTTTTGTAAGTAATTTTGATTTTTTATTATGGCTTTAAATATTTATTTGCACCTGTCAACTTGTGTAGGTAATGTGCTGAAATGTTTTATGAGCAAATGAGCTGAAATGCGAGAAATAATCAGATGTCAGACATAGGAAAATACAGTACTCAGCAGCACCTCTTCTCTAACCTGTTTCAATTACTTAGTTCATTTAGGAAAGGAGATCTTTCATCCAACGCCTTTTTAGTTTCCACCTCATATTCGTGGGTATGTCAGCTGTTGCCATGTCTCTTATTAATTTGTTGTAATATCCATTAAAAATTTGTATAAAATCGTTTGTAGTGGGTCGTTATGTGTTGGTCGACTGTTGGAAGGTTGAAGTAAGTATGTAGAGTTTTGTTAGTTACTTAGCATGATTTTTTACTTTCACTTACGTATATATGTAATATATAGTAAGGGTAAGTATTGCGATCGAGAAAATTTTTGAATCTGAGTTTTCAACGGAAATACACGTTTTGAGGTACCCTGAGTCGAAATGACCAATTCCCGAACAATGGTCTGTGTGTCTGTGTATTTGTATGTTAGCAGTCTAGCTCAAAAACGAAAAGTCCTACGAAACTGATATTACGTATTTAAGATAAGTATATGCCTTAGTGACGGCAACTTTTTCCTTAAAATCGGCTAACCGGAAGTGCCACTTTATACCAACGCTGAAACACATTTTCACAATTTTTTTTGTTATGAGTCGGATTAATTTTGATTGGAAGGTTTGAAGTTTTTTTAGGTAGGTATTTTTAGCAATACGGTATATTTGTGATGAGTATGTCCATATGGTTTAAGTAAGTATGTATATGTAATCAATTTCTGTCTCAGTTTCAATTTTGGTGATTTAGAAAAAATAGATTAGACTAGTTTGATTCGTTTGTTATGTGTTATCCATTTCATTTTCACGTGCAGGCCCCATGTCATCCTTCTGTCGAAGGTAAGTTCAAAATAAAGTATCGTGTCTGTATGAAGAATTTGGTTATTATTAGATGGATTTGTCATGATTATGTTCAATTTTAGACAGTTTGTTGTAAAGTTAATAAGGCCTTTGTAGGATTTTGATGTTCTGTGAGAATTGTGTCATCTGCATAAGCAGCTGTCAATGCCTCACTGTTTACAGACATATCGTTAGTGCATAAAATGTAAAGTAGAAGGACAAGTATTGAATCTTAGAGGACTCTTGCCAAGATTGGACGAATTGAAGAAATTTCCGAGCCAGTCTAACAGAAAAATCAGTCGAAGAGGAAAGATTGGAAAATAATTTCGTGCGTGTTGTTTGTTTGTTGCTGTTTATTTACGTAAAATCCACAGGTCATCAACTCCAACGATTATTTCTATAATAACTATAAGTTTGTAAAAAAATTCCATTTTCAGTTGATTGTTTAGTCGATTAAAAGTCTGTCTATCTGATGAACATCAAAAGGAATTCAGTTGTTTGCAATAAAATATGTTGCACTTGTAGCAATATAATTCAAGTATATTGTAAGAAATAAATAATTTGAATGCACCATAAAAGTCTTTATTGTCAACAACTGAATTAATTTTTAATATTTATTTTAAGTTTCTCCTTAATTTTCACTTTTAGTGATTTAAAAAAAAAACAATACAGTAATATCAATTGATTTTAAAGAGTATTTTATTCCAATTATCACGAGTTTAATTCATCCTTCGGTCCAATGTAGTCCAATAAAATAAAATAAATAAATATATATAGAATATTCATTTCTTAGGCGAAAACCAGAGATCTTCTCTACATCTTCAGATTTATACAAATTTTGGCTTATCAAATTATTGAAGTCTTTTGCTTTTGTTTTGCTTCTTCGGCGCTCGAGACTAGTGTAAGTAACAATTATAATAATTATGCAATTTATACCATATTTTATACAATATTCATTCACTCAAAGTCTCCGAGCCTCGTCTTTCCTCACGCTCGTGGAAGGAAAGGCAGGACTCTAGGGGATCCCAGCATCTATCACTGGTATTGCCAATGGAGGCTGAGCAGAGACACTATAACCAGTATAAATATTGTATAAAATCATATGTGTATTTAAGTATTTATTTTGTTAGATTACTTTGTTTTTGTTTAGTTTAATATCTTTTGGTTTATATACATTTAATTTTAGTATTATTATATTGCTGTTTATTTATTTTCATTTATTGTAGATAGTATGAATGAGCTACTCTTTATCACTATTACTATTGTCTTTAAATGTGACAGATTGTAACATATATAAAAAAAAAAATGTAATTTAATTTTTTAAATATTGCAAATGCTTTAAAATAACATCATTATAATATACATATACAAGAAGAAAAATTGTTTTTGAATTGACGACCATGTCCCGAATAAAAAAAATAATTTTCACCATTTCTGAATCTTAAAAACAACAATCACCTGTTATTAAAAATATTTGTAATCTAAATTTGCTATTTATTGATCTTCTTTTTACTAAACAGCTGATGTGGAAGGTTTTTTTAATTTCCACCTCGGCTCCCACAAATTACTTGTTTTTTAGAGGAATCTCTGATATTATTCACTTAAAACAGGTCAGGAGAGATTTATTTTTTAAGAACTTAAATAAATAAAAGTTAAACTTTTTTAATTTGCTCTTTTCTAAACGTTCATCGACTGCCAAGGTCATAAGCGACGATCTTTCACTTCAAATCATATTCAATAAAAAATAATATTTTATTATTTCGCTTTTAATGGAGGTATATTATCGACGAAATCGCTTGAATTAAAATTAAATACCCTCAACAACATAAACAGACAGAATTTGAGGAGTATAGTGCAATTTCCGAGTACGTTTGAGCCGATATCCAAGAAAACTTACTAAAACAACTTTCAAAATATGAGAAATGTAATATAGCATCATTTTTTATAGATAGTTGGTGATGTAAAAAGTGGCCTAGTAAATTTTCAAAGTTCGTTTGAACTCTCACAGTAGAGTACGAAAGAAAGAGGTTTGTGTGAGAAGGCCTTCAGTCTCATTAGTTGACAAATATTTTTTTTTATTAATTAAATTACTTTATTTATAGAATTAATCTGTGTGCGTTATTGCTTAAGACTGCTTTTGATAATTCAGTTGATTACATTTATTTTTCACTAGATTAATTTAGGCTCAATCATTTTGATGTTGGTTAGAATTTCATTTAAAAAATTGCTTAAATTCTTTGAAATACATAAATAACATTTATTACAATTATTTTTCACAGTTTTTTTTTAACTATTTCAGAAAACATAAACTAAAGTTTTGGAATAAATTTTTTTTTAATTTATTAAAACTATAATTATTTTATACAATAATTGTAGCGGCGGAATACCGGAAGGTTATTTCACTGACCATATAAGTCATATTTATGTATTTCAAAGAATTTAAGCCATTTTTTAAATACACTTCTAACCAACATCAAAATGGTTGAACTTAAATTAATCCAATGATAAAGAAATATAATTAACTGAATTATCAAAATCAGTCTTAAGCCATAAAGTAGACAGACTTTGATAGTTTAAATTAAATAGTTTAAACCATAAAAGTCTTATTTTTTATTTATTTGTGACGGTTACATGATTTCCAACGAAAATTATGGTTATTGTATATAATACTTTTTTAAAAATATTAATACCGTATTAAGTAATTTTAACCGTAAAAGTCTTTATTTTTAATTTGTTACCAAAAATGATTTACAATCGAAAATTATTGTCATCATATATAGTAATTGTTTTTATGTCTATTAAAAAAAAATCTGTATATATTTTTTCATTTTACTATTTAGACCGAAGACTGACGTGGAACCCACATACTAGACTCAAAAGACAAGAACTCAACCGACGATACGGCCAGACGATACAGACGATACAGACTACTAAACAGAAAATCCAAACTTTCTATTGAAAACAAATTACTTATCTACAAGACAATACTGAAACCTATATGGACATACGGACTTGAACTGTGGGGTACAGCAAAAGCTTCTAACATCAAACGTATTCAATCCTTTCAATCTAAAGTCCTTCGAACAATAGTTGATGCTCCGTTCTATGTAAATAACAAAATCCTACACCATGACCTTAATATCCCATTTGTCCTAGACCTTATTCCAGAAAAATTCTC